CTTCCGACCCACAAATGACCAAGCAGGCGACAGAAAGCAGCAAGCAGTGTGACGCTGGCTGGGGCCAGAGGAGCACAGGTTCACCCCCTTGTCCGGTCTTTTAAAGGACATCCTGAGGGGAAGCGGGAGGAGGCAGCAGCGTGACAGAAGCGGGGCAATGCATGCTGCTGAGCATGGCCGCGGGCTGACAGATGAAACGTTATTAGACCTCACTTGTACGACAGACTTTGGTGTTTTAACACTTACACGTGGTAATGTGATCAACATTTATTTCCAGCTGTGTTTAGGTGGAAGCGATCCAATATGACTATCAACCCTCCCTCTGTCCCCAAGCCCTGTTCTCCATGCCCAGCAAGCAAGATCCAGACACCTCCTCTCACAAACACAATTTCTGCTTGTCCAGGCAATGTGGTTTTCTGGGATTGCATATAGGATCTAGAACTAAAACTAGAAGTGTTTCTTAGCATTATATTTCTGATTTAGATACATTATACATTTAACAGCCTAGAAACTGACAGAGGTTATCTTCAGTGCTTTGCCTGGTTACAGGAAGGGAATAGCCAGATAACATTATAAGCTCTAGTTATATATTTGTTAGTTTATCTGCCAAGAAAGGGAAGCAATAAAAATCTGATTACTGGCCAGTGAGGACAGGTTTTCATTAAAACAGCTGTGAATTGGTTTATTTGCTACTGTTCAGCAACAATTGACTGTAACATAGGAATGCTTTTTCTTTATTTTTTTTTTTAAATTTTTCCTCCTGCAAATACACTTCCTTACAACATTCAGGACAAAATTTGCTGTACAGAACTGAAGTCTGCAAAAGTAATTCTCATCTACATAGCAATATGCTTTGCATTAACTTTATGAACTCACACAATACCTACATCTGAAGTCCCTGGGAATGTAGCTGAAATGTTCTCTTCCCCCGTCCTCATACGCAAAGGCCCGGTCTCATATGCAAGTATAACATATCTCCAAGAAGCACACACTGGGAAATGCAGATTAGTGGAAAGCTATATACTTCGATCCATTTTGTGGTCAAAAGAATTATGTTGTATTTGCAGAGAGCTTAAAAAGGCTATCTGTTTTATACATGGGTGTAAATTCAGCAGAATTACATGTCTTAAATGAGAAAGAAAGACAGTCCTCTCAGCTGCTCCTATAAAAAACCAGGAAGCAGAAAGATATAAACAGATGGTCTTGAGATTTTCCAATTACAAACCTTTTTGGCAATATACAACTGGAGGAATTCCAAACATTTGTCACTTTGACACCGCTTTGCGGTAAGTAATGAAATTTTGGTACTTACAAATTCTGAAACATACTGCGATTTGAAGACCAAACCCAGCTACCTTACTCAAAATTACCATTCAGGGAGTTAAAGTCTCATTTTAGAATAGGTACCAATCTAACATCTCAAAAGGCCTAAGGAAAACTATTTTTAATTTGATGCTTATTCATAGATTCACTAAGATTCTGCAATATAGCCAGAAGATATAAGCAACTTTGAGCAGGCTGGGCACACTCACACTGTTGCTGACACTGTGAAACTGAAACCCATCATAAGGATAAGAGGCAGACTGCTAAACACAGCATCCCACAAGATGAAGAAATCCTCCATTCCTCAAGGGAGCATTACCCGTAAACTTTTTGTCTCGGTTTGTAAGAAGACTGCAAACAAAGGAAATTTGAAATACACATTCTTCCTTTTGGTTGTTGTTTTTGGCTTGGTTTTTTGTGGTTTTTTTTTTCATTTCTTTTAAAGAACGCAATTCTTTAAACATTCGATGCTTAAGGATATCTTATTTTATCATTTGCAAGTCTTATTCCTATTAGGTTATTAAAAAGGGATTAGCTAGCACTGGGGTGCACAAAAGGTGTATAAATAGAATTGAGTGGGCACCTCATACAGGAGCTGAGCAGTGTGTGTGCATGCCAGAAGAGCTAGCTTTAACATTTGGACAATTGCAGCTTTTGGAGCTCTCAGATTTCTCTCTGCTTCCATTTTGACCTACCACAGAAAGTGGATGCAAAGGCCTGAGCTAATAATTTCATGAAGTAGTAAACATTGATGCACAACTCTTCTTTTTTTGAAGGAGAAGAAACCCCCCTCTTTCCTGGGTTTTGAGAGAAGAAAACTAAGAAGTAACTTACAGCACTTAGAGTATAACTGTATAAAGTTGCTCCAGGTTCTCATTTTACATTAGGCAAATTAACTATGTAATGCTGTGCTCAATTCCACAGCCGTAGGTACCCCTGTCTTCATATCAAAGTGCACTGCAGACCTCTGTCAGACTCAGAAGAGCAACCCAAGTACAGAACTACACACTCTCCACCCTCACAGAGTTATTCTTCCAGGTTCTTCCAATGTGGAAACTGAAAAAGAGCTATAAGAATCTTTGGGGCATGTAATAACAAAGGAAAGAGAAGAACAGAGTGGGCATTAATTTCAGTCTGCATTACGATGTGGAGACTCCAATACCAAAATTTCTTTCAAAATCTGAATTTTAGCTTGGATTTCCAAATTACCCTATTCAGTGCAAAACAGCGAAGAAATAAATTTTAAATTTCTTATGGCAATGATAAAATTAACAATATATATGAGAAGACACAGTACTTGCCACTCAACAGAAAACAGTATTGAGGAATCTTCCCAAAACCAGAGCTAACGCTTTCTAACATTACCCAAACCATGGCTCTAACTTCAAAAATTGCAGCCCACTCAAACCAGAAATGGAAAGAGTTGCTAGGGTTCATTAGACTGGCCAGAAGCCATCCAAAACTAGGACTTCTGTCCAACTATGTGACACTTTTATACGAGAAATCTGTTTTCAAATCCAGAAAATAAAACCTGCGCTTACTTGTTATTGGTGGGTCCCGTTGCCAAGACATCCGATTGCAACTTTGGGAAAAATCCTTGTTCGTATTTCCCTTGGCCGATCTTCATATCAAGTAAGTGCGGGTGGATAGCTGTGTGATCGATCTTCATCAGCCGCTGCTCGATGGATTGGGCTGCAAGTTACAGTCACAGGTGAACAACTGTGTTAGCGAACCGCCTGAAGTCACATGCTACAACAACAGAAGTGGTCATGCTCCGATCCCTGAAAATGCTCTAAAAAGTTAAATAGACCCAGAAACCTGTCACTTACAGAAGTGAGGAAACATCTGTGCTGTTACTCTGTTATTTTGCTTTTAGTTTCTTCACCCAACACAACTAGTATTGGCACAAACAAGTTAACTGTTAAGCAAGCAGGTGTCGACGGGAGCCTACGAGACAGGTTATGAATTGGGAAGAGCAAGTGCAGTCTTTCCCTGCAATTCGGTGTTTGGCTTTAAGGCTCCTTCGGCAGGATGGAGACCTCTGAGGCTGGCTGCAGCTCTCTGTGGGGTTGGCCGCCTTGCTTTGCCCCAGACACACCTCCCTGGGCAGATGCATTGGGGGGCAATACTCGAGTTTTGCAAATGTCTGGCACCTATAATGATCCTCCTCCTGAAATCAGATATGCCATTACTGGATGACAGGCCTTCAAAAGGCATAGCTAACTGTAGCGAGGCCTGAGCAGCATCAAGACGACGAACACGTGCTTGGAAACAGGGGAGGCTACGGCAAGACCAGAGAGGCCTCCCCAGGTATCTCAGCTCCACTGAGACTAATGCGGTTCAGTCGTTTGCTCCAAGGACGTGAGGATTTCATCTCAAACCTCGAGCAGGATGAAAACAAAACCTGTCACCCTCTCAACACCGACTCAGATGCACTGTGAAGGAGAGGGGAAAGGAAGTGTATGGGGGAAATCAGCATTTAATTAGCAATTTTAATATTCAATTCTTTATAGCCCATCCATTAATGGGCAGGCCTGTTCTTTTCAGCATATCACGGCTAGTGAATAAATATGCAACATGTGGAAGCTAAATCCATTTTCCATTTGTCAAGAGCAACACAGAACTCGTTTCCTATGTTATAAAATAGTGATGGGAAAGAAACTGTCATAAGATTTACACACATTATCATTAGGAACTCAGCAGCCTTCTTTTCCTTTCTAAAAAAAAAAAAAAAAAAAAGTCGCTTTGCATGGTTTTATTTTGGAGGAAAGGACTGGGTGGTGTGGGGTCAGAGGGTTTGAAGGGTTCTGAAAATAGTAGGTTAAACAAACAGGTGCTGGATCGGTGCTAGGGTCACATATAATGTGAATGGTAAATACGAAGGAAAGTTGGTATTACTATCAGTTTGCTGCTTTTCACAAGACAGAAAATGAGGTTCCGGTGCCACAATATCTACCAAAACTAGACGCTGAATAGACAGTCGACCTGCAAATTAGAATTGGTTTTAAACAGAAAAAGTTAAGGAGACACAGAATTTCTATTTCTGCCACATTTGTAAAAAGTGAAACACACTGAAGGAATTAAACAAAAAAAAAAGATAAATATGTTTGCCCCAGTTCATTAATAAGTGTCCCAACAAATGAAGAGTATAATTTCCCTGTATTACTTGGAAATGAAATACATACTTGCAGAGTAAGAAACTCGAGTATAATTTGAAAATGCATCCTGTGACCGTAATGGAAAATAATCCAAGTCTTCAGTACACAGTGTATTGTTCATTAATACTGAGCATCTATTGCTGGACCTGCTAAATATGCCACACAAGATTATGTCCCCGGCATCCCCCGCTGCTCTAACCAAATGGTGTAAGGCAAAAAAAAAGGTCTTTTTACGGGAAGGGGGAAACGAGGACAGCGGAGCAGACACCGGGGCTCAGCTCCTTGGTGTGGCTGGCGCTGGTCCCACCACCACGGTGAAGGAAAGCTCTCCTGGCAATGGAACAGGAACTGCCCGAAATGAGAAACGGTGAGCCCAGCTCCGTGGTTTGGTTTGTGTTTATTAAAGGCACTGGCCTAGGAGAGCTCAAAGGGAAGGTAAAGGAGCACATGGGTTTTGGTGTTTAAAATCATGCTGAAGTTTTTACCTAGGGAAAATAAGGACACCACTGAGTCCTTCTCAGGTAGCTCTAGGGCTTCCTCACCGGCTGCAACGCTCAGATGACTGAAGACCTACATTTCTTTGTGGCTGACATTGTACTTTTGAATATTTTACTAGCCTGTCTGAACATACCTGCTTCTTTCAAAGTGCTGCATTTCTGATAGTTGGATGTCCGCAGTGCAGGGGCCCTTACATTATATAGCCTTATTTTCTCAATTCGGGAGTCAAAAACTCGCAGAAAAGGGTCCTTCTCTTCCCACTGGGAGATTATCTTATTGTCTATGAAGGTTGCAAACATCTGTGTTTCGATGAAGTGTGAAAGGAATGGGAGGTAAGGCTCAGGTTGGTCCGAAAGGAAGGAAGCCTGAAATACAGAACAGCTCATTAGTGCCATGTTCCCACCCGGTGTTGACACGACAAGCCGTCCTGCGGCAGGGAACCAATCCAACAGCCAACAGGAAGGCTTGGACAAGGCTTCCCCACCACAACACCACCACTCAGGGAGGACAGGATCCAGCTACGAAGGGGTTTGCCTCATGGGTCACCTCTTTGATCATGACTGTGAGACATCAGCAGTCGGGGAGGTTTCGTGACAGCTAGAGTAAAGGGAATATGGAGCTACTGAAGCAGCGCCTGTGCTGCCAGCTTTTTGAACGCAGCCTGGCAGCTACCGCCCACAAGAATTAGCCCTGTGCAACCTGCAGCAGACCACTGCCATGTGTGCCCACTTGGGACCTCTGGTCTGAGCATCCCTGCTTGGGCCCTGATCACTTACTAAGGTGTCATACATATCAACGGGTATTTTCAGCTAATGCTCTTTTGTGGAGCTAAGCAGGACAATTAATCATGAAATTCCAATTAAAGTTGAGCATGTGCCTAAGTCTCTAACTGAGCTTTGAAAACCCTAACCTTAAGAGGCCGTTTTATTGCAGCAGTACTAGTGCAGATTGCCCAAACGACCCCCTCCTTCAGAATACTGCACTGTTCAATGCCTGAAGACAAACAAGACCAATAAAAGGCATGGCAGCATTTTTTTTTTTTTTTTTTTTTGATCAAAAACTGACTCAAATCAATATTTAGTCTGTTCTGGACTGTTTACCCCTGTAACATTCTCCTTGGAGAAGCACTTGTATCTGAAAAAGCTGATGGCTAAGAGCGCTATCTACTTTGTAAAGTCACTTGGAAATAATAACTGAGCAAGCTTCCAAACGTTTCTCATTCCTTTTGCTGGCCTACATGCTATTTATTTCCCCATTTCTAATCTCAGTCTCCTTTTCACTCTTGTGTACACACTACAAGGGAATCATAACAGTACTCTTCTGCCACAACGATGTGATAACCTTCTACAGAACAACACCACCTGTTAACAAAAAGCTCTACTGTGAGATTAGGAAACAAGAAAGACTGGATTTGTTTTTTGTCTCCTGTACGCACCTCTCCTCTCAGCAAACAAAAAAAAGAAAGAAAAAAAAAAAAATCACTTTCCATTGCTACCCTTCTACCAAGCCCACAGGACAGGCCCCATCAACTGGGCAGAAGCCTGCCAGCTTGGTTTGTACAAGCCAGGACAGCTCTGACCAGCTCAGTGGATCTGCTCCGATCTACTTTGGCAGGCGATCTGGCCCTGTGTAATCAAAATGGACAAAAACTCTCAGGGAGGCAGATGAAGAACGGCAGATTAGAGTATCTAGGCTACACATACATAAAGTAGCTATTCTCCCTCCCTCCCAAAACCACTTTCAGACGGAAAAACGAATACACGGCTATCTTTACTTTGTCAAAGTTTTGCATTTGTTCCCTGTTTGTCAGCCACGACTCCATATCGGGGGCAGCCTGAATGACGAAAGCCTCGTAGTCTGCAAACATCTGTGTGAAGCGGTTGGCGAAAACCTCGCGAAGCTGCACATTCAGTTTGTAGTCCCTCAGCTCCACGTCCTCACATGGCAATTTCCCATCCTTCTCCTTCTCCGCGAGGGGAGCCGTGATGGCCATTTTTTCCATCGTCACGCCCGTTCTTTTGGCAAGGGCTTGCAGGCGGGCGATCGTCTCGTTGCCTTTCAGCAGCTCATACATGTTGAGGGCATTGCTGGAGATGTTCCCGTTCTTCTTGTCGTTCACCAAGTCACTAAGAACCAGGTTCTTGAGTTTGGTGGCGCTGTCGCTGCAGTGCAGGTTACCCTCTGGCGGGATCCCAAACTGCAGGAGAACCTCAGAGATTTCCTGGATAAACTCCAGCTTGTTGGGGAACTGGGGGAATTCCTCTGGCAGTTCGATGAAATGGTTATCGATGTCTACAAAGCACAAGTTTGCCTGAAACACAAAGAGAAGTTTCAAAACAGATGGTCAGCACTGAACTGGCTCCTCTGCGAAGTAGCCCTATTTTTCCAGGGTACTTTCAGACAGAAGGGTAAGAGCACACATATGCAGGAGGCTTTAGCTGCATTGTCTAGCTTGTGACATTTCAGACTTCAGTAAAGCTGAGGGCCAACTGGATGGCAATGATTTAGTGAATAAATAAAGACTCCTGCCCTCTCCTGTTCCCCCAGGACCTGCAGATCCCAAACTTCCCACTACAAAGATTTGATATCCCCTCCCAGACTAATGCAGGACACACCAGCAAGCCGGATGTGCAGCACCACTTCTCAGCCCACGTAAATACTATTTGTGTGAACCACTGCATCTCAGGGGCACGTTTATTTAACCAGGATCCAACTGCAAGAAGCCTCTGTGGCTGTGCTACCAAGGAACAAGGTGTTCAGTGAGAAAGACGGAGATGCTATGAGCAAAGCTACAAAAGAAGGTCCCATGCAAACCCCTTGGGATCATGTCTGAGCATAGCTTGTCCACTGGAGGTCAAGCCCTATTTCCCCACTCCCCCCTACCCCCTGTTTCCATGGAGGCTTTTAATCTTAGCAATTCCTCTGCCCGAGATTCAGAGTGCTCTTAGACAGCTTTGCTATGAATGGAGATGGATCTCAGCCCATAAGATTAAAGCTAAGTGAAGACATGAATCTAGCAGAGCAGATACTTTTACTAGGAAAGTGTCAATGGGGGGACGGAAGAACCCTACATAAAAATTAATTACATTGCAAATGCACCCTCAGGAATAATAGCAGAATGAAAACCAGTAATTGATCTTCCAAACTGTGGCTTACATCTGACATTCACTGTCTGAGTGCACCACGCTGAATAAAATCTTAAACCAGGTCAGATTCCCAAGGTGCTGAGCTCTGACGGGTTTTACCCTGGCATAAAGCTGCAGAATGGGAGATGCAGAAACCCACAGGGCAGCAGGTCTTTGTTAGCCCGATTTGGCCATTAGCACAGCTCTTCTGCCTTCTCCAAGGCACTTTTACTGTTCTTTACTTCTCACCAAACACTGTAGACTAATCTTCAGATAACATGAACAAAAAG